CTACCCTAGCCCTCCGCACTTCGTTTATGTCGGCGTACAGCCGTTACCTATGGCCCCGTCGTAACCTTCGAACCCTTCAATCCCCTTCCGTGCGCCACCCACCCCTCTGTGTTCCACGAGTGAAATCGTTATACACCCATTTGCCATTTCGCTTCAGTCAATCCGGGGTGACACACTCTCTCTCTATGACGACCCGTGACGGGCGGGTCGAGGCACAATGAGAATGACGTGATAGACTTGATCGCGGATTGATGTCATCGAGATTTTCAAATAAATTGGATATCTATTCTCATATTGGAAGTTTAGATTCTCTATTCGAAATTCGGATTCTCTATTTGGATTCTCTATCTCGATAGAGAATCATGGGGGGAGTGCCATTTAATTTTCGAATCATAGATCGGGTCGAAAATAAACGCATTTTCCAAGTTAATGAAACCGAGCAAAAAAAAAAGATACTCGTGACTGGAGTGAACGATTATATTTCGAACGATTATTAATAGTAAATTGTAATTCGAGAATGCGCACGTCCGGCCATTTGATATTTTCTAACTAATGTTTGGAAAAACAATTGAAATTTAATTGAATCTGTGGTTAATCGATTGCCTTTCGAAATTTCATAGTTATTCGCGTTCGCTTCTGCAATATTATATTATCTTCGGTTAATCTCAGATAAGCTTCGCTCATCAAAATGTTCATTTTAAATCATTTAAATCAGAGAATCTAATTCAGACCTCATCGAAAATTTAATAAGAAATTAAATAAGGAATAAGCTAAAGAACGATGTGACTCCTGAATTTTTGTTCCAACATCATTTTTATGGATATGATAGATAAGGATAAAATTTTACTATTATCAATTTGCAGTAAATTGCATGTTTTTAATATATAGTTATGTATAACGTGTATTTCCTTAGTATTTCCTTTTAGTACAAAACAATTTTGTCGAGACAAACGATGAAAACATGCGCCAATAATTGTAAAAAGCAATCAATCAAATGGCAGACGTGACGAAAGAATGAAACTGATAAGAAATTGTAATAACATTAAGCAGAGTATCATTTTTCACTTTCTCGTAAATGTCAAACTATTTCATTTTCCTTCTCGCACTACCCGATAAAAATATATCCTTTCTCGGCCTTTTAATTCTTTCTCTTTCTTATTCATTCCATCTTGATCGACGATAGCTCCATGCACTGACACGCAAAATTCTAAACTGCGAATGATTTAATCTTTAGAAGGCCGTAGGATTTTTTCCTTAAATCATGAAAATTTCACTTTAGGAAAAAAAATATATGTTTAAAAGAGAAAGATAAATACGTATATCTAGAAATAAAGATATATATATATATATGTATATCTTTATTTACGTCAATTAGGCGTACGCGCCGCCGCGAATTCTCTGTATGTTGATTTGTAGAGATACTGATTGTAGAGATACTAAAAAATGTTAATTTTCTTAGGATAAATATGTTTGCTTAATATTGAATTTTATTCTGTTTGTAGGTATATATCCTTATCAAATAAATAA